GAAATGATTAAACAAATGCGAATAAAATAATTTTAAGAGTATTTTGTAATAGCAAATGAGTAATTATGTACTTGATTTGTAAACCTGCTTTGCGTTTTAATTTCAATAATTAATATATAATCTTTATACTCACCAACTGAATTAATGTAAAAGAAATTATTTTGTAATAGTAAATAAATACTGCATTTTAATTCTAATAATTAATAAATGATCTTCATACTCACAAGCTAAATAATATGATTGATACAAATAAAACAGTTTGAAGAGCATCACATAATAGTAAATAGGTAAATATGTTCTTGATTTGTGAACTTGATTGCCGTCTTTAATTTTATTGATCAATAAATGAGCTTATACTCACGAGCTGAATGAAATTATTTGAAGGGTATTACATAATAGTAAATAAGTATATATACTCTTAATTTGTAACCTTATATTTTTGATTTTAATAATTAATAGATGATCTTGATACTCACTATCTAAATGGAATGATTAATGCGAATGAAATGATTTGAAGGATATTAAATAAATAATTATGATTTTAATGTGTGAAATTGGTTTGCTAAATTTAATTCCAACAATTAACAATTTTTATACTCACTCGCTGAATAAAATGATTGGTGCGAATGAAATGATTTGAAGGATATTGCAGAATGATAAATAAGTATTTATGTTCCCGATTTGTAAATTTGTTTTGCAGATTTAATTTCAAATGGTCTTTATACACACCCACTAAATTATACAAGTGAAATGATTTGAATAATATTAAATAATAATAAGTATTTATGTTCTTGGTTTGTGAACTTGTTTTGCTAATTTTAATTCCTGCTAATAAATGATTTTTATACTCACGAGCTGAATGAAATGATTGAAGGGTATTACGTAATGGTAAATAAGTATTTATGACCCTGATTTGTGAATTTGTTTGCTGATTTTAATTCCAAAACCTAATAAACGATCTTTATACTCACCCCCTAAATTATACAAATGAAATTATTTTAATTATATTAAGTAATGGTAAATAAGTATTTATGTTCTTGGTTGTGAATTTGTTTAACTGTTTTATTTCCACAATTAATAAAGATCTTTATACTCACTCGCTGAATGAAATAATCAATGCGCATGAAATGACTTAATTGTGAACTTATTTTGCCAAATTTAATTCCAATGATTAATAAATGATACTTATACTCACAGACTAAATTAATGCGAATGAAATGATTTGAAGGATATTAATAATGTAAATAAGTATTTATGTTCTTTATTTGTGAACTTGTTTTGCTGTTTTTAATTCCAATTAATTATTAATAAATGATCTTTATACTCACAGACTAAATGCGAATAAAACTATTTGAAGGGTGTTTTGCAGATTTTAATTTTAATGAATAATAAATGAACTCTATACTCACGAGCTAAATTAACACAAATTATAAATAAATATATTTATAAATTTAAATAGCTGCTATACGGATTAATAAATTTAATAGATGCTTACTCCCTGATAATTGAATAGTTAAAATCAGATAAAATATTCCAATTTTAAAATAAAATAAAATAAAAATTACAAAACTATTATACAGTATTATAAATACAAGTTAGAAATTAGCTTACTTTTTAATCCATTCCTCAAATTTATAATCATCATCTTTAACGCCAATTCCATAACGGTAACAAATAGCAGTTTTATAGATTCCATTAAGATTACCCATTTCAGCAGATTTTTGGTAATGCTTAAATGCTTTGTGTTTATTCTTTTCAACGCCAATTCCTAAATAATAACAATATCCAATTTGATACATTCCATTAGAATTGTCCATATCTGCAGATTTTTGATAATGAATGAATGCCTTGTTTTCATCCTTTTTAACACCAATTCCATATTCATAACAATAGCCAAGCCAGTATATTCCATCTGGATCGTTCATATCTGCTGATTTTTGGCAGTTAATAAAATTCAGTTGAGTAAAATCTTCTACTAGTCGTTCTTTCGTTGAGTCTTCATTTTCCATTGTGTTACGAAGAGTAAGAAAAAAAAAAGCTTACAGTGTTACGGTATACAATATAAATAAAATAGTTAGCAATATATCCTAAATTGTACTGGTGTAATATTTGGCATATAATTACGTCACCTCAACAAATATGCATGTTGTGCTACTTAATTTCAATTTAAATTTTTTAAAATTTCAAAATAGTAGCAATAAATTGAACGATAAATGTAATAATGAAAATGTAAATGGATAAAATTTTTAAATTAATGAATTTATTTCATGTAATAAGAACGACATAAGCGACCAAAACATTCATTCCATAAAAATAGCTCAATTGAGCTCTAAAACTTCGAAGAGTACTAAGTTTTCTCTTAATTATAAGATTTCGTAAATTATCATCATTATTTGTATCCATTTTTTATAAACCTAGGGATGATTAACATTATGTTTGGCCTTATTCCATAGAAATCCAAGTTTAGAAACACTTCGAAACAAAGTTCGAATAATATCCTGTAAAGATTGAACGTAAGTTCTAAACTTAATTGACACTGCACATATGCACTTAACTGTTACGTGTAGATACATATGTGTGTACGTTTTATAATCTGATAATAAAAATTCATTTATCTTTTAAAATGGTAAAATTACCAAACGAATAGTTTTTCAAAATATTTAATACTTTTCAATATGATTATATTCATGCTTCTAGAACACCATCACTGATGTAGAATTACTTTATGGAATGAAATAAAATGAATTAGGCAATATAAAACTTATAAATGTATGTCTTCTAACATTAAATTCCGAAGAACAAGTATTGTTAAAATTCTTATTTCCAAATTCCGTTATTTGAATATACAATACAAAAACTCTTCAACTATTTGAATAATCTAATCTATTAAGAAAAATTCACTTGATTACATTCTCATAGTTAGTAGCTTTTCTAATACAACCATTGATATTTTTATTTTCATTTGTCATCCTTGTGCTATTCGCACATTTGATACTGGGCTCTTGGTGTTATATCACTTATAATTTGTTTATTTTCCATTATCCTTATTTCTTTTAGAACCATTGTTTGTTGCGGATTATATATTCGAAACATATATTTTTCTGTGCAACCAGGTATCGGACCTAGTCAATAAGCAACTAACCACTACTACTACGCCATGAAGGTTTAGCAGTAATTGTAATAATAAATTTTTTAAATCATTCTTTATTAATAATAACATTATTATTTTATCGTTCTTAAAATTTAATAATACAATGTTTTATTCTATTCTTTCGGCCAAAAACAAAAACTATGGTATACTTTACCTGGAGAAAATTTTTTTAAAACGTCTGTATTAGATACTATCGACCATATAATGCTAATATAAAATTTACTTAATCAGAAATTAGTTATTCATGCAAAAAAACGCTTTTTTTAATAAAAAATTTAATTGATAAATATATTTACCCTATTTAAATATTGGTGATAAAATTTAATGTTACGATGTTAATTGTTTTATCGATCGATTATAATATATGATGATAATCGCATTAGAATTTTGAACTTGTTTTTAAAATTTTTCGGTTAAGAATTATAATTTATTGATTGACCAGAAAAAAAATAATAACCAATTATATGTATAAAATGAACCCTCCAAGTTTTCAACAGCTATTATTTTCCTATTATAATCATAAAGTTCGTAATGAAAATATACATGACTTATTGTATAGGTAGCCATCTTAATTACAAAATATTATTTAACTACTATATATCAGGTTTTTGTTCTACTTTTGTAGACTCAGTTTCCTCGTTAACAACCTCTGATTTTGTAATATCTACTGACGAATTATTTAAAGGTCCAAATTTATCTTCATAAAGTTTAACTTTTGCTCTTAATCTGAATACAAGGTCTTGAAGACGTTCCATCTCATTGTCCATAGATATAAGTTGATTATCCGATTCTATATATATTATTATAAACAGTAAATTAAATATTAATTAAATATTAAATTAAAATATATTAATTTAAATGTTAACTATTAAATAATCTTAAATATATGTGTATATATAAAAAAACCGATAATCTCACCTTCAAGACCTTGTTTCAATTCATAAATCATTTTTTCTCTGTAAAGCTATTTCAACCTCATATTACTCTACACGTCCTTGGCGGAGTTGCCACCCTAATTCCTCATTTTCAACTTGCAATGCTCGTAATTTTGCAACAGGTTTTTTAGAATTCAAATATTTATCAAGTATTGAATATATCAAATTGTCATATTGTTAATAAACAGATTACCGACCTATTGGGTGTAAATTTAACGCTTTCTAATTCATGATGTAATGATTCAATTGTTTTATCTTTATCCTCTAATTCTTTTTTATAGTACGAAATAAAAGATTAATTTCTGGGTCAAGAAATTTTTTACGAAATGATTGATAGATGTAAAATCTGGTGTTAATGTTTGTGAAAGATTTTGAAGTTCTCTCTATATAATTTATATATAATTTATATATAATTTATATAATGAAATTAGATTAATTTAATCCCTTTAAAAGAATAAATCATAATATTAAAAATATTTAAAAATTTTTTACCAGCAAGCTTTGAATTTCTTCTTCTTTCTTTGTTAATTTAACTAACAAATCCTGTGTGGTTTCATTTACAGAATATGGAGCCTGGTGTGATTGTTGTGTTAATGAAAGGATTGCGTCTGTGCATTATTCGCTTTCCCTTTCGTAGAAGTTGAAGTCTGCACTGTCGAACTGTTAACTTTTCTTTATCAATGTTGGATGTCGCTAAAGTGGATGTTGAACTTTGCGAGTTTGCAGGTGCACTAATGCAGACAGTAGGGACATTGGTTTTGCCTTGTTTGGCATATAAACTAGTTTAACTAGTTCGACGATGATCATTACTACTGGTTTGGAAAATCGCAAATTTTTGTTATAACGATAAGTTACAGCGCTTTTCAATTTACTGTGATCAAATGATTGACCATCACACGGAAATCTTCAAAATTAAGGCTTTTTTTGCAAATAAATCTAAATTTCTTGCCAGCAAATATAAATTCCCCCAATTCCTCTCTTATTTTCGCTTTTTCAATATTTTTTATCAAGAAATATACAAGAGCTGGTTGTTTGTGCAGCTAAATAATACGAAAATTTCATGTCTTTTTTGTATTATATTTATTAATTTTTTTTCAAACTTTGAACGAAGATATCTTGACAACCGCCAAGTCAAATTCGATGAACTTTTTTTAAAAAAATTCTACGAATCTGTAGAATTCAAATAAATAAAAAATTATCGAATTTTGCTTCCCTATGAGAAAAGTGATCCGGGTGTTGGTACGTGTTGGCACGGAGTTGTCTGGATAGGCACGTGTTATGTGGCACGTAAAGGCAGGAAACACGACCCAAAACGTGACAGAATGGCACGTATATTCCGTTTTACGGTATTGGCACGTGCACTGGTGGCACGTATAGGCTCGTTAGTCGTATTAAATGGTACGTGCATCTCGTATGGCCAATAAAATCGCAGGATCAGATGTAACGTGAAAATTCAAAACAAACGGCTTTTTTTAAAAAATCGTCTGTATCTCAAAATCTCGTCTATGAAAAAGCTCTTTAATTCCTAACAAAAAAAATTCACTGAAAATTTTACTATAGGCATGTTTGTTACCACCCCTTCACAATTATGTCATACTCTAACTAAATCAAATTCACTCTTGATTTATAACTCGTAAGAAATATATGCACGTGAACTTACGTGCGCCTCAACCCATGCCAAAACCTGTGAATTTTGGCTTAGTAAAGTGCAGCAAAACATGGTCCATTTACGGTTCAAAATGTCTGGGTAAACAGACCAATTCAACGTGCCAACACGGATCACAGGCGTGCAATCCCGGACATCCGACCGTTCCACACTTGACCGTGTCTTCCTGTAGAAACACGTGCTTACACGGTCCACTTTTTTCATAGGGCTTGTGGTTACTGATATATCCCCTTTCAAAATTTTAAAAAATTCTCAAAATAAAAGTTGCAACAAAATTTCTCAAACTGTGAATGAAGATATCGACAACCACCAAGTCAATTTTTTTTCTTTTTTTTGTACCATATACCTTTAGCTATACATGGGTGTCTAAATTATTTTGCCATTGTCATAATTTTAAATGGCTAAATTATTTTAGATTGTCTAAATCATAAATAATATAGTGTCGAAAATAATTTAGGCTGCAAAAATTATTTTAGTAGGCCGAATATATTTTAGATTGTCTAAAATATTTGCACCATTCCAAAGTATTTAGAATGGCAAAAATTAATTATAGGGATATTTGTATTATTTATTTCCTGTGGGAAATAAATAAATAATCCCCAGGAGCGTGTCACTAGATGTTAATCGGACTATCATACCATTATTTTTTACACATGTTCCATATTTATATTCGTATTGTGCTTTACTAACTTTTGGGCATTGCTTTATTTTATTTTTTTTTTTTACATTATTTTTATTGTTTTACTCTTTTTATCGCCTCTGTTTTTTACTTCTACATTTAACTTTTTTCTAATTCTTATTTTCACTTTGCTCTTATCGTGCCTTTTTTTAGCTTCATTTTACTGGGCATATTTACTTTGGCTTTTAAAGTTCTTTAGACAAAACATGAAAAATACAAAAAAGAAAATGATTCAAATAAAAATTAAGCATTAAAAATTAAAGTTTCCTGATTATCAATATGAGACCGGGAATCTTTCGTGGAAAGATTCCCGGTCACAATATGATTATTATAAATATGTTAATCACGTGTAAAAAATAATAATGAAGGTAGTCATAAGTGACACTTAGTGCAACAGGGGATTATAGAATATAAAACTGATCTTTAGATCAAATAGTATTAAGAATTGATTGTGTTGAATATTAAGTAGAGCTTTGATTCTATTTTTTTGAATTCTCTTTTATGAATCCGGTTATAATTTGAATTTAATCCAGAAAAATCATTGATCAACCAATAAAATTTGTGAATTTTGAAGCTGGTAGAAAAATTTAATTTAATTTTATCATTGTTACCAGATTTTAAATTTGTTATTAAATGATAGGTTAGATTTAACATCTCATTACCATACCCTGCAAGATAAAAGTGAATAATCGGCATTTCCAAAACTTCCTAAAAAGAAGACAGCAATCATATGAGTTTTAGCCAATCATCAGTATAACAATAATTACAGTAAATACAGTAAATGAAACAAAAAAATCATTCTAACAGCTCTTTATGGATGAGAAAGTTTATATTCCAAAATCTCTTTATGGTTAGTAGAGTTCCAATCCGGATAAATTCATCTCTATATCTGAATTATTATCTGAATAATTCAGATCGCTCAGATATCCGGATAATCTGAAAGATATTTGAACATTTATCCGGATATCAATAGTAAACAAATATCTGAATAAATTCAGATCCGGACTATATAATATCATTCTAACAGCTCATTATGATTATTGTTGAATAAGAAAGTTGTCATTCTAGCAGCTTTTTATGGTTAGTATTAGGATGAGAAAGTTTGCATATAAAATTATTCTAATAGTTCTTTATAATTAGTGTTGGATAAGAAGGTTTGTATTATCTAACAGTTCTTTATGGTTAGTGTTAGGATGAGAAAATTCATGTTATAAAATAATTCTAACAGCTCTTTAAAGTTAGAATTTAATAATTTGATTATGGATGTTTGTGCTATATATTAAAATTTCATAAAGAATATATATATGCTGAAATGGAGATCATTGTGGCTGAGTAATGTGCTATCAACCTGGCACACATTCAAAAATTGCACTAAACAACAATAGTGAATAAGACCTATTGCTATGTAGCAGCATAGTAATAACAAATTTAAATAAATTTAAGCAGTTATATGATAGAAGAATAACAAAATAAATATTTAATAAGACATGTACTGTGCATATGTGAAAATAGTAAATAAGTCACATATAGCAGCATAAATTTAAGCAATCACGTAATACGTAGAAGAATGACAAAATAAATATTTAACAAAAGTATAAGAGGCTTGTATATCATAACAAATACTAAAATGTAGTAAATAAGCTCCATGCAATGGCATAGCGAGACGGTATAATCTTTTACAAAATGTGCTATAAAAATATAAACAAATTTCAATTAATAGTAATACTGAAATTCAAAAATTCTATCTTACTATTATTTAAACTTTTCAGCACTACTTTATTTACATTTACATATAATAATATTTTCAATTTAATAATATTATTAATATCAGCAGTCTATAATAATATTGACAGTTATAATAATTTAGACAGTCATAATAATTTAGACAGCCTATAATAATTTAGACAGTCTATAATAATATCGACAACCAAAAAAAATTTAGACATATAACATTTTGAAATACTGCGGCGAAAATACTAAAAAAATTTCGCTATACCGTCTGCCATAAATTACCCCTATTTTAGACACCCATGTATATCTTTACCATCCAAATAAAAAAATGTTTATCAAATTTGACTTGATAATTGTCAAGACATCTTTACTCAAAGGTTTAAAAATCTCAATATCTATCAAAATAGAAGCTGTGACAAATTTCTAATTCTACAAACATGTAAAATTAGAATTTTAAAAAAAAGATCGAATTTGGCTTGGTGGCTGTTGAGATATTTTGCTAAAATTTTTAAAAATTGAACATCTATCAAATAAAAATTGTCTCAAATTTTGAGCAAAGATATCTCGACAACCATCAAGTCAAATTCGATAAATTTTTTTATTTAAATTTTACAAATCTGTAGAATTCAAATAAAAAGAGATACAGAATTGGCTTGGTATTTGTCAAGATATATCTTCGCTCAAAGTTTTTTAAAATACTCATACCATCTATCAAAATAGATGTTGCGCCAAAATTTTTCATACTTTGAGTGAAAA